GTTTTATAGATCTTTTATAGAGATTGAACTTTTATGATATGATCAATATTTCTTCTAAGATGCAAATGCATTATATGAGTTTCGAAATATGCAATACTTTCACATGAGAAATCTCTACTTATGATTGAACTTGAATATAAAACTCGTATTTATTGAGAGGAATAACATAGTTATCAATCCGACTTTAAGGTTAATAGTATGTTGGATAGCAAGATAGTATTTACTATGGGTACCAATTGTATTCCAAATTATGCTAACACTAGGTATGTATCTTGATCCATAAGAGATAATTTATTCTATCACATAATGACCTCTCGACAAAAAATAAAATGATATGTTCAAAATATTGAGTCTCGACTCAATTTTTAAATGACGAATACTATGAAAAACCTAACACTAGTCATAATTTTTTTGAATAAATATTACGTAAATAAAAAAGACTACGATCATCCTAGTGTACCCTCGTAATAAGGTTACCTTATATTTCTAATATATGAGAATTCATTCATGCAAGTTTATTTATCTATCCACTTTTCTATCATGATTTATAAGTTTGATTATTAAAGTATTTCTAATAAATCATAGATTGAGTGATTTAGAGACTAAAAGAAAACTCAATTTCTCACCTAAATTGTCACTCGGGCTATTGAAGCTTACTTAAGAAGGTAAAAATTTAAACTTAAAATCCATTAATGATTAAGCAACCCAAACCCCATAAAAAAAGATATAAAATAAATTGAATTTGGACCTTAGGCTTAAATTCACCTTCTAAACCATGCAATAAAAATTATAAATTCGTAGTAAACAATTTAAAAATATAGATATGGGCCCCGAGTTTATATCATCTTGCCATGCCATTTTAAAATACTAAACTAAGTCCAAAACCCTATTTCTAATTTAAATTCAATTTTGTGAGAAGACAAAATTAATGGCACTAGGAAAAAAATAAAACAAATACCAATATCAAACCCAATAAACGATAGCCATAATAAAAAAATAAAAATATAATAGTAAAAAAAAAGTACGTCATTTGAACAAAGGCGATCCGGGTCCTAAACCTACTTTACTTAAACTAACCTAAATTGATATTATATCAAATAAACATATAAATATAGGACATAATAAAATTAGACATGCCATGACAATAAATCATGGAGAGAAAACTATTTAGAAAGATAAAATAGCTAATTAGTTTTCACAAAGTTCTTGACCTATTAGTTTGTATTGGATTATTTTAATTTTTTTTGTCATGAAAAAAAAATGGTAGCCTATTGCTAGTTCCATCATCAAATGAAAATTCCTCAAAGATTTTTTATACGAGAAAATAAAAATAATATTATATCAAGTCAATATCCTTAACCCCTTTTTTTATTAAAAAAAGAATAATAATAATATAATTAAGATTAAAAATAAAAGTATAGTAAACCTTATAAATATCACATACCTCGACCCCAATCTAATTATTAAAAAAATAACAAATAACTTAAATGTAAAACCTTTTGAATATGTTAAATAACATTAAGGACTTCAAATTTTGAATTTAATTAAGTCTAAATTTAGCAAATTTAGTTTAATTAATCATCCAGATTTTATATTATTCAAGTAATTAAATATTATCTTAATGTGAATCAATAAATAATCATGCAATATATAAAATTGAGATAAAAATTAAATCATAAATTGAAAACTTAAGGGTTTAAGTGCCAAATTGAAAGTTCAAGAACCAAAATTGACGAAGAAGAGGAACATAAAGAGGCAACAGATTTGGCATGTGGACGTGTAGCTTCTAGTAGACGAAACTTACTCTTCCATATACGATGACCGACGGTGGTGAAATTGGCTCGATTTGGTGTTCTACTCTTCGTCTTTGCTTGGACGATCACTATATTATGGCACATATACAAAAATGATGGATCGACAACAAATGAATACATCGATTTCTCCTCCTTATATTTTGCTTGTGTTTTGCCTTTATTTATTTATTTTGTTGTAAGGTTTTTGGGTCATGTGTCATTGTGTGAGTAGGATAGTATGCATATATAGTGCAACTCTAGGTCGGCTTAAATATTTATTCCTAATATGCATTTAGCCTATACATTTAGGCTTCAACACCTAGTCTAGCGTGCATCTAGGCTTGAATTGTAGCCCGTAACACGCTTAGGTGGTGTTTGATAAAACCGAAAATTAAGTGCTGAATTTATTAAGAACCGAATTTTAAGTGCTCGAATCTATTAAGAATCGAATTTTAAGTCGTTGAATCCGTTAAGTACCGAATATATTCCCGACAAGTCGTTTGGTATTTACCGAAAATTAAGTACTAAATATAATAAGCATGTTTGAAGATGATAGAATATATATGATATTTTTTAAGATTTTAGTTTGAACATATGTATTGATTATATTATTCTTATTGTTTAAAATTTATTTTTTTCAATTATTTTTTTCTTACTAAAATTCTCATCAAATTAATTTTTGATATAATTTTATTTGTTAATAAATTTGATTGTTTAATATATGAATTTTGGAATAAAATTTTATAACATCGATGTTTTATTTTTTAAAAATATATTATTCTAATTTATATAATGAATTATTTTTATGCTTTTCAAATGAGTATTTTATTTTTCAAAATATATTATTATAATATATATATATATATATATATATATATATATATATATATATATATATGAGAGAGATATAGAGAGAGAGAGAGAGAGAGAGAGAGAGAGAGAGAGAGAGAGAGTTTTAGATAGTTTGACTTAATCGGATAAGTTAAAAATTTTAACTTATCTTATTAAGTAGATTTTAACCGAACTTAAAGTTTTAATATGAGATCATTTAAGTTATCAAACAAGATTTTTATATTAAGTAGTACAACTTAATTTTTTAAGCTACTTGATTAGATTATCAAACACCCCTCAGTCGTCTCAGGCTTTCTCTTTCTTTCTTTTTTCCTTATTCTTTTTGTATTTTTTTTTTTACTCTCTCTCTCTCTTTTATAGTTTTATAGGATAAAATTGGGATGATGACAAGGTTTCAAACATGTTGGTGTAGTTGCACGATGTTTACAAGTTATGCACTAAGATCGACGAAATCTATAGGTGTTGTATAATCAAGAGCTTCCTATCGTTCAACCGTATATGATGTTGAAGACCATATGGAGGTATGAGAAACTGACTTTTTATTCAGTACAAAAAATGATAGCAATGAGTTTTGAAAACTCATTCATAAAAGGATAATGACGTGTCAATCTATGACTGATGATGAATGGTGGAGATCGACTGTATTTCTTGCTTTTTTTTCCTTTTTTTTATGCTAGTTATCTACAAAACAAGCTTTTTAGTGGATTGAGAGATCCTCAAATGATCTATTTAGTGATCAAATAAGAGGAAAGTGGCTCAATTAGGCTATTGAAAGAGTGCTTTTATGTGTGTTTTATAGAGAAGATGAATAATAAAGTGTTCTTGATGTAGAAAGAATTATTTAGAATTGAGAATCTGGAGCCTTTGATTGTTAGTTACCTTAGATAAGCGAGATTTTGGTGAGTTATATGGTAAAAATAGTAGGACTATCCATTCTCTTCATGTAGACATTCACTAATGTCAAATAGGAGTGATTTATAATCATGCTGCGATTTATTCTTTGATGGTGCTATCATTGTTGGATCTAGGGTTGATAAGATTGAAGTAGTCTTAAATGGACATCTAAATTAAATGTTCTCTCTCTCTTACAATCTTAAAGTGTGGTGGTTTGGACTCTTCGTCAAATGAGTTGAGTGTTCCATACTAAAGAAACCGTGCTATTTCCTAGGATATCTATCAGATTTTAAAAAAGGCATGAATCCCACTCTTAGACATGGCATGTTTGGAGCATGTTTGACTGAAAATGCATTCTTTAGGATTTTCAGGTGGGGGTGACATGTATCACTTGCCCATCGATATCCATTATCTTCATGATCAAACCTGATCTTGTGTTTTTTAGCATAGTTTACGAAAGGGCAATTCTTGCATATGCTTCCTGGCTAAGTTTAGGGCTACTTTTTATTCCAATTTTACCATATGCCATTCTCCTTCTTTAGAAATTTCTAGCAGGCTCTTAAGAGGATAGCTGTGGTGTGGCTTTCTTAAGGCCTTAGTCTTTGTTGTCTCTTTTGCTCTAAGCACACATAAAAAAATAAAAAAAAAGTTTAATATACAAATTAGTCTTACGACATATTTAATTGGTTTAAATGATAAAAAAGATATATCTACATCCATTTGTCACTATTCAATATAAATGTGATACCAAGAGTGCTAGTAATACTCTTTCTAACACTCCCCTTTAAACATTTGCTTAATAAAATTATTTATGTTAAATAATAACAAACAAAATATAACTAATATCTCATGTTCTTAAAAATTTTTAAATTAATTATAACTAATTTTATATTATCTAAAAGATTAAAATATTATTTATTTATTTATTTTTAAAATTATATGAAAAGATTTAATGTAAATCTTTTTATTGAATAAGTATTTAAAAGAAAGTGCAAAAAAACGTTGCTACGTTAATGATATAAGCTTTTATGTGCGCTTGGTCACGCGTTCATTTTTTGTTAAAAAAAATAAAACCCCATCCCAAGGCACTGCGTAATAAAGAAGGCAAGAAATTCGGAGGTTAATGTCCTTCATAAAAAATAATATTATATTCCATAAATCCATGATAAAAAATAATAAGACACATTATGATGGTCATACCACCACAAAGAGCTCGATCCATATTAGCCCTCAATGCGATCCACTTGTCAACTCCATTATCCCCAATACACACAGATAAGTGGCTCTCATCTTATTCTATATACCTAACTAGATAACCCTCCATTTTCCCTCTCCCTCCAATCCCAACCGTCCATTCCTTTCAAAACCATCTCTCTCCACCACGCTCCTCCCTCAAAAAACACTTCACCTATCAAAACACAAGAAAAACAATCTCTCCTCGATCTCTCCACCACCGTTACCATGGCATCAGCACTCCAAAATGCCGCCGTTTCACTCCAATCCAAAATCCGACCACCAGCAAGACTCCCAACAAACTTCACCTCCCCAAAACCCCTCAACCTCTCCTTCTCCACCACCCTGCCTTCCCTCAACCTCTCCACCACCACCAACCGCCGCCGTGGTGGCTCAGCCTTGGGGACCAAAATGTCAGCAACAGCAGCAGGAAGTTACGCATCCGCACTGGCTGACGTGGCAACATCCAATAATACATTAGACTCAACCGCGGCCGACGTCGAGAAGGTAGACAAATTCTTTTCAGACCCAGCAGTGCGTGACTTCTTTGCTAACCCAACAATAGACTCAGAAAAGAAACGGCAAGTCCTTGATGAGGTTGCCAAGTCATCTTCTCTCCTACCTCACACAGTAAACTTCATTAACATCCTTATAGATGCTAAGAGGATTGATTTGGTCAAAGATATAGTGCAAGAATTTGAGATTGTCTACAATAAATTGACGGATACACAGCTTGCTGTGGTGAGTTCTGTTGTGCCTTTGGAGTCCCAACATTTGGCACAGATAGCAAAACAAGTGCAGAAACTGACTGGAGCTCAGAATGTAAGGATTAAGACTGTGATTGATCCAAGTTTGGTTGCTGGGTTTACAGTAAGGTATGGGAATGGAGGGTCTAAGTTGATTGATATGAGTGTGAAGAAACAGTTGGAGGAGATTGCTGCTCAGCTTGATTTGAGCGATATTGAACTTGCTGCTTAATTTTTGACTTTTCTTTTCTTTTCTTTTTCTGTTAATTCTTTTGTGGTAAATTATGTGGGCTTTTTTTTGGGAATTTAATTGCTGTAGTATGGATTTTGTAATAGAGTAACTACTGGACTATATTTCAATGTCTTCCTGTCTTTTTATGTGTTTCTCACAGGAAAGAAAGTTGATTTAACTGGTATTTTCATTCAAGAAATGTGGACGAGGCTCTTGAGATTTGCTCCAAGATGAGCATTTAGACGCATAGAGCGTGCAAAACTTGCTGATTATGAAGGGATTCTTAGCAATCCTAACATAGAGTGTTGTTGGGACAGTTAAGACGCATCAAAATGTGCAAACTTTGGATTTCGTTTGTTTTTGAAAACTAAGCCATATGGATACTCAGAGAGCAGAGGATGATCCAAATTTTTCACATAATTTGATGAAATCACCTGGTCTTATGTCTAAAAATTCCAATACTTGAAGTCCATCATTTTGAATTAATTTGGTAGTGTTGGTAATATAAACTTGTTTGCGATTACATATCAATTCGAGAGAGAGATGCATGATCTAATATGATATTGAAATTCATTCCCATTTGTTTTTTCTTTTCATTTTAATAGTACAGTTTTGGAAAGTCCAATGTCACTACCAATGTGGGTGAAGCGTGTAATGTCAGACAAAGAGGATTGTCAGTGATTTAAGTGCAACCTTGGTAGGTGCAATTGCAACCCTCTTTGTTAAAAGGGAGTTGTGGCTCAAGGAGCAATGTGACGCTTCTTGTTTGAAATTGATCTTTACAAGATAGTCGCATCTGCTCTTTCTTTGCTCTTTGTTCTTGTCGTCGCAGAAGTTGGTCTTGAGAACCGACGAATTTCTTCAGGTAAATTACCTCTTGTCTTACACTATTTCTTGTCCTTTCAGATAGTACTAATAGATTATTCACTATACGTATACATAGGATGAAAACCTAGCATTTACTGAATACGTGATATTTCTTTAGTTCTTAAGGACTTCAAGCAATAGTTTCCAACACTCTTTCTCCAAATAATAATATTTTCCACAAATGCATGTAAATTATGTAAATAAATATATTAAGAAATCAACGATTCAAATCTCTTGTAAAGTACTAATAATCTTAAATGATATAAGTAAGTATTTCAAGACAATCATCCTTTCAAATCTCTTATAAATTTTTTATTAATATGGTGCTTTGGGGGGGGGGGGGAACGCTGGACTTGCTTGGATAGAATATTTATGTTTAAGATAATGCCACAATTTTTATTTTTATTTTTAATTTTTTGATTGTGAATGCCACAAATTATTCATTAAGATAATGTCTATATTTTTACATATGATTTAATGGAAAAAAATACTCTAAATTATTAAGTTATGACACTTTAAAGCTCATGTTATCAATTTGGATTATTTGAACCCTAAGCCATTAATTTTAGGTAAATATTATTCGCTTTCCTTATCTCTAATGATTAAAATATTAACTGTTAATTAGAGTATGGTTTAATGACATAATTTATTCCTAAATTATTGGGATTGTGACCAAATAAGACATGTATTAGCAATTTAAGCCATTTGAATCCTAAACTACTAGAAACCATTTGTTATTCCTAAAAAATACTTAGTCAGAATCTATTTGTTGCTTCTCCATTTCATTATTTATGTATCCAAAAACAGAAACATACATCAGTTATCTCATAATAAACCCTCAAATTAATCAACATTTTGTATATAATCAATATTGTTATTCGAATCCATGCATATAAGATGAACATAAAAAATAATAAAGCAACAAACCCTAAACCATAAAAACTCTAATCAATATTAAAATATCATAATACAACACTAACCCATAATTTTATCACATGTATAAAAACAACCAATTAACTATCGCAAATCGACCCCACAATCCAAATAAAATTATTATCGTGATTAACCACGACATTAATCTCAAAAATTGATTACTGATCAATCAAGTAATTTGTATGTGCATGTGTATCCTTATTTTTAACAAAAAAATTAAGGAATAGAATAAATTTGAAAATAAAATTAAAATTAAAAAAAGTCCAATCCGAAAATAAAAATTCGGAAACCAATTTTTAAATTTAATTAAAATTCAGAATACATATATTTCCTGTAGATGGGCTACTGAAATTTGGGCTTAGGTCCATAATCCAAATAATTTCCATCCAACTCAAACTGACGTACTGGACCGACGATGCAGCTTCACCGGAAGCGACGTACCCTGCTGTACTCACATAAGCCGTGTTTGGTCCCACATGAAACCCCATTTTCTACATCATCCAGCTTTGATAATATCTTCTTCAACAATAATTCAAACAGCAAAACTAAACAAACAATTTTTATAAGAATCAAAGAAATCTTACTACTTAAGCAAAAACAAAAACTACCAAACTCATTTGCGCATATATATATATATATATATATAATAGCTAAACTAATTTTCTAGGTTTCTTCTCCCGTTAGTGGAGCAGGTATTATGGTTTAGATTTTGTTATTTATTTGATAATTCCTTATCCCCTACCTTTTTTGAAATTCAAGAAATTTTGTTATCTTCTTGTTTTTTATATAATCTTACAGAAACAATATCTCTACAGTTATAATTATTGATCTGATCTCTGATATTGTTATCCAAATTGAGAAATCATGTCGATGATCGATTCCTTCTTCAACAAAGGCTTTAAAGCTGCTAGATGGTAATTAATTTCTATCTTCCTCTATTTTTTTTAATTTCTTTGTTCTCTTATTGGTTTATTTTTCCTTGCTTTAATTATGGTTCAATTTGGATTGAAATTCTGGGTTTTGTTTGGTTTCTAAGAAAATGTTGGGAATAGTAATAAGAATATTCAGTTTTTCAGTGATGAAATTCAGTGTACAATCTTATTTGAATTTTTTGTTCTTTTTATAAATTAAAGAAATAGAAAATGAAGAATTAAGAGTTTGGGCATTTGTCTCGTGGGTTGTAGATATTTTGTAAATGTAAAAGGTAATATAGAATATATTGAAAATTTGTTGTTCTTTTCATAAATTAAAGAAATAGAAGATGAAGAATTAAGAGTTTGGGCATTTGTCTCGTGGTAGATAATTTGTAAATGTAAAAGGTAAATATAGAATATATTGAAAATTTGGAGTGTTCATTTTTTTTTTTTTTTAAGTACTTGTGTTTTGATTAAAAGCTATGGTTAATTATTTTTTTTGGGGTTTAAAGATTTGATGAGGATTGTTGTTTTCTTAATTTGTTTGCTTGTATACAGTAAAACCCTATTGAAGTTGACGATACCCCGGATAAAGTTGTTGAGGAACCGGAGAGAGATTCAGATAAAGCAAATGCGCCGGGACATTGCTAAGCTTCTTGAGACTGGTCAAGAAGCTACTGCTCGCATTCGGGTATTACTACTTTTCTTATTAAAACATTTTTTATAGGATGAATTAGTTTTGCTGCTTTTAGTATTTTAAGGTATCTGCAGAAGGAATGATTTTCTGGTGCTGTTGATATTTCCATTTCAGGTAGAGCACATAGTAAGAGAGGAGAATATGATGGCTGCTCAAGAGATCATTGAATTGTTCTGTGAGCTTATTGCTGTGCGCCTTCCAATTATTGAAACACAAAGGTTATTCCTCACATTTTATTAGCCGGCATGCACTGTATTTATTTCTCCTGGTTTGTTAATGCACTTTCCCTTTGGATTCTTGTCTTATCTATTATCCTTTTTTGCAATTAGTGACCGGCAACTAATAGGTTTGTTTTTCACTAGTATTGGTATATGTTGAGCTAGAGATATTTTCATCTGCACATGAATTTTATAGGTTTGTTAACCGTACGTCATAACTGTGAAAGGTTTATAGGTATTGTTGCTTGTGTTTTCTTCAAGTAGCAGGCATTAAAAAAAATTCCCTGAAAACCAGAGAAACAAAAGGCTGAGGAAATGGAAGGTGGAAGAAGTACCTGTTGAACAAACTACTGATATTCATGTCTATACATGCTAAAGGACTAGAGAAGCATAAACATAGAATGGACTTTATAGTTTCACCTTTCTTAAGTTTTCTACTCAATCGATGTTGCACCGCATAACTACAGACATGCTACATCATATTGTAGGATATTTTTGTACCTCCCTGGGCTTCCCAGCTCTATCTCTGGAAAGTTTCCATATGGGCTAGGATGAAATCCTGATTACTTTCCAGACTTGTTTTGGAGGAAGTGGTGTGAGTAAATGTTCTTTTATATTTCTGCTTTACCTTAGAGACACTAGGCTGTTGTCTAAGCGCGCCATTTGCAGTAATTGCTTAAGCTTAAGTATAACATGAACTCGTAAAGTTGAGAATCAAGTCAAACTTGCAAGATAAACAATTAGGAAGTTCATTGTGACTATTATCTTAGAGTTGCTTTGACATGCTAACTGAGTAGTGAACAGGCAGATAATTTAGGGTTGAAGCTTTGACTCTGCCTAACCACCTTGAGCCATTCTGGTTGTGGGTTGTCTTAAATTCAGTCAACACTCTGATAAGTTTGCAGATAGTATTGTTACAAAGAGCCTTTTATAAATCCCCAAGTTAGATCTTACAAAAATCTATCCTGTCATCTTCTTCCTATTGGAGTTCCAATGTAGCTGGGGAATCAATTTGTTTACGTTCTCTATCCTGTCAATATTTCTTTATGGTTATATAATTTCATGTCAACTTCATGAATGCCAAGATCTGTGTGTAGCTTTGCTGCTTTCTTTGTTTGATCTAGCATGTAATAAATATATACACCTCTATGCAAATTGAGTTGAAGAATCTCTGTGGCTACTTGGAGCAAAGAACTCCACTCATTTTTACTCATTTTATTTTTCAAATGTCATTTTCTTTCCTTTTCAGGGAATGTCCTTTAGACTTGAAAGAAGCAATATCCAGTGTCTGTTTTGCGGCACCAAGATGTGCAGATCTACCTGAGCTGCTGCAGGTTCAAATCCTATTTGCTTCCAAATATGGAAAGGAATTTGTAGCTGCTGCAACTGAGCTTATGCCAGCTTGTGGTGTTAATCGCCAGGTTTTTTGAATTTCTATCTTATGCCTTGATTTCTTTCTTGCAAGAAGTTCCTTTTGTCTATTGTTTATGCTCATGCCTCTTTTATTCTTGACATTTTTCCTATAAATTGAAATCCTACAGTTAATAGAACTCCTGTCAATTCGTGCGCCTTCACCTGAAAAAAAACTGAAGCTTCTGAAGGAAATTGCTGAAGAGCATGAGTTAGACTGGAACCCAGCTGAATCTGAAACTGAGCTATTAAAAAAGCATGAAGACTTGTTGGTAAGTAGTGTGGTGCAACTGCCTCAATTCTCGTTATCTTTCCATATCTTACATGTGTCCTCTCATTGTCAGAATGGCCCAACACATATCACTGATTCAACACGTGCTGCTGGTCCAACAAATATCACTATGTTGCCTCTTCCAAAAGAGAAGCATGATGAATTATTAAACGCTTCTGATCTTGCCGAGCATGAGCAGCCTGATTCTGATACAGACTTCGACCAATTAGATTTTCCTGAAGTTCCTAAGGTGTCACTGCGCCCAAATGCAAATGCTGCCTCAGCACCGGAAATAACGCCACCTGCACAAGCTGCTCTACACCCTGACATCAATCATGAATCATCAAATCATTCTGTGACTCACAAAGATCTATCACCAGAACCTCATTTTGAACATGAGGATGTGGTTGAAGAAAAGTCAGGAGCTGCCAGGGATGAAATTTCAAGCACGGCAGTAAGTGTCAGGGAAGAAAAACAGTTTCTGCCATTCATTTCTCCTCCTCCACTATCCTCTGCATCATTTTCAGCAATACCAAGTACTTCGCCACCCTCTGCATCAAGGACCAAAAGTGAAGCTGATGTGGATCTGCAGAATGTTTCAGCTGCTGTGCAGGGCACTGTGGAGACTGCTAAACATGCAGCAATACCAAGCACTTCACCACCCTCTGTAATGAGGACCAGAACTGAGGCTAATGTGGATCTTCAGGATGTTTTAGCTGCAGCACATACTGCTGCTGAGACTGCTGAACGTGCAGCGGCGGCGGCTCGCTCAGCAGCAACTCTTGCGCAGGCACGGATTAGTGAGCTAACCAAGAAAAACAGTGAGAAGTTCCCTGAGAGTAGCAATGATAATCCATTTTATGTGGATAATCCCAATCAATCAGCTTCTACTGAAAAGCCACACTTTGTTCACCAACAATCTTTTGGGGAGCCAGGCAGTGTTCCAAACTATGAAAACTCTCATCGACGTCATGAGGGCCACCAGGCATCAGAGTTGTCGGACATTCCTTCCTTTGAGAAACTCAAAGTGGATTATGATTCTCCTCGTAGCGATCATGTTGTTGAGCAAGGGTCTGTTAGTCACCAGCCACAGAGATTGCCTTCAATGGACGATGAGCCATACTTCTCATACCCAAATTTGTTCACATCACAAAACTCAAATCCTGGATTCAGTGCTCAATCTGCTACAGAACATTCCCATTCCACTCATGGCCTTTGAGTTTTGGGTCCTGTGCATTGGTTTTGTGGTGAGTTGATTTAGTGCCAAGAAGTTATGGATGCAATATGGTGTTTAGCCATTTTCATTTGTTATTTGTAGAGTACGAGGTTATTAGTTGTGGTTGGTTGTTAAATCCCCTAAGTCGTGGCTGCAATCATGTTCAATGAGGTTTATCATTAGGAAATTGCAACCATTCAATGTACTTGAGAAGCCATCTCAGACAATTCAATGTATTTTGTGTTTGGTCAAGTTCAGGATTCATGTACAGAAACCATGTTCTGTTGCAGGCAATGAAGTTCATATTTCCTTGAACTTTGATATTCAACTGTCCAGGCTTTGTGATTTTGAGAATGTCATCCGGCAAAAGAGTGCAAGGGTTTTCTTAACAGAAATATAACAAAACCTATGGCCTGTTTAGCATCATTGGTTTTGCAGATTTTCTTATTCCTATTCTTTTTATATGAGAGTAAATTATAAATTAGTCTTTCTAGTTTGGAGAAATAAATTATTTAGTCTCTTATGTTTTAAAGACTAATTATTTAGGTTTTTTATATTATTTTTCAATTTATTTTATTTTTTCCGTTTTAAAAATTAAAAAAATAATAAATAAATATTATTGAAAGATTCATGAGAATCCATTTTCGTTGTTCTTTTGCAATCTTGGCAAAGTATGACCCTAACTAGACAGAAAAGTTCCTAAGTATGGAACTCATCTTGATCTTTATTTTCTTTAACTTCCTAAGCAACCAAACAATTACAAATTATTTTTTAGATCCAAAGCATTGACATTAAATATAAGTACTAATTATTTGGATATTCGTTAGTGAAATGCAGGTGATGGAAATTGAAGGTTGTAAAATTATGCTTCCTTCCACATCATAAAATTATTTTCTTTGAATTTTTGGAAGCTACATCATGAGATCGAAAGCTTTGTGTTGGTCAATCCATTCACGAAAAAGGAAGAAAAAAGTGGATTCTGTTAGACAACCTCCTATGATCACCCCCACAGCCAATCTCTTTCGGTTAGAGAACAATCCTCCACAGCCCATCAAGCCGTTACTCACGCTATGATCACACGGTTATCAATCAGACTTAGGTTCCTCGCTGCAGAGTGATTTAAGGATACAGATGTGCGATTCTGAAAACGGTTTGTCTTCAAGGTAGTTTATTAAGAATCTTTTTTTTCGTTTTTTTCGATGTGGGAAATGTGTTCTTGTTTTTTCCCAGGGTATTTTTGTCCAAAACGGAAAAAAAGCTTGGTCCACCTTCCGCCTCAAGTGGGGATAAAAAAAAAAAAAAAGTAATACGAAAAGTACGAGTATACCCCTCAGCTGCCATGCTGTTATTGTGGTACGTTGGTAGTGTCGTGGATTTGGTTTTTAGTAGAATTAAATAATTGGTACGCTGAATTATTGCCACTTTATAGTATCTTGCAGAAAAATACAATTATTGTCAAAATTTAGAGGTGGGCAATGTAATTGTCTAGCAAAATACTTTTATTCGAAAACTTTTGGTTAGCTATTTGGAATGTCTTTGCCCTATCAAACATGTTACGAAGGTGATTATTAGTGGCATAACTTCAGAAATAAAATGTTACGTATCTCATGGTTGAACTAGAGCATTGAGATCTTGAATTTTCTCTGCGTTGCTTTGTACTAGGACTGCGTCTAGGCTTTTGTACGCATTTCTCGATCCTGAAAAAATGGTCATGTAAATTGCGGCTAGGCCCTTTTTATGTACAGTACTTGTGTTTTGTTTGGTCAAAAAAAAAAAAAAAATGAGAGAGAGAAGTTATGATGCAACTTGTGGTCTTTGAATCATTTGAAGTAACAATCTCTAGGTCACAATCACTGTGACTCCTGCCCATTTCTTGTTTCCAAGCACTTGAATCCATCCATGCCCAAAACCGTTTGGCCAGCTTCTTTGGCAGAGGCTCAAGGTTTTAAACAACATACACCCAACACTAACTGCAGCAAAATCACCAATTGAATTTCCTTTTTTGGGTTCGAAAACCTGAGATGGAAATGTTTCCCACTTTTTATTTGATACAGGTTTTGATTCCCAAGTATAATTAATCAAAGTTTCTGCTTCGTTGAGTTTTCATAAACATGCTGCTATGATTGATTGCATGGACTAAGAAAAAGCGCGAGGAGCGGTGGATTTCCAAGGAAGAGTGATGTGGAGCGTTCAGCTAAATATCCCACATCGAGAAAACAAAAGAAGTGACATAAGGCATGTGTGTATAAATTAGAAGGCCTCAGCAACGTTACACATACTTACCTGGACGGGATCGATGGGTGATCAAGAAGGCCCATGGTCTAGGTCAGTGACCTCCATTGCACTGAGGAGGGGTGCTGGCCTAAGGTCTCCCCAAGAGGGAGAGCCTACGTCAAAATTTGTGGCAGAGGGGGCTGCGCAAGTCGCGGCCCCTACTCAATTCTAGTGCAAGTATTTGGTTGGATGAAGCTCAATAAATAATGCCATATATAACGTACGTGGCATCATGAAGAAATGTGGTAATGAATTAGATACGTAAATTTACTTAGAAAGATACTCCTCCGTAAGATTCTGAGGCCCCAGTACTCAAATCAGATAAACCCACGTAACTAAGTGGTTTTGGGGCTTTGACAAAAATTATATTTTTATGATGCCAGACTTTGCAAGCCTGCAATCATAGCCTAGGTTAAGAGAAAAAAATCAGCAGAAATTTTGTTCGGACAATTAGCTTATTAATGGAACAGATATGCCGACTCGAGACGTGGGCTCAGAACTTCGAAATCAATAAACGCACAGGTCCAGCAACGGATAATCCAAGCAGTCAATTATCTCTCTACAATGAATAAAGTTAGCAGACCAGAGTATTTGGGTTCCTACTATATACTTCCAATTAGAAAAATTCACTACTCAGGCCTACCCTGCATAAACTTGCAGTCAGTAGACAAGATTGAACTGCAAAGGTTGTATCTAAATATCACTTGACTACAAATGGCAGCAGATGCCAGACATTGGAGCTCAACAAAGCTGACTCGTATACACAAAGGTAATGAATACAATGCAGAATGGCTTACATGAGTATATCAGGATTCATTCATCAAACGAAAGGAAAAATAAAAAAGAAGTGAAAATATGAATAAAAAAAATAGGCAGTAGGTATTTCTTCTCTTGTAAGGGTCACCTTGGACCAGATAATTCGACTGCATGTAGGTTTTCTGTTGAGTCAACAATCCAGTCAGAACTAGGATGAGGGGCTAATTCCACCTCCTGACGAAGAACTTCTACCTTTTGCCACTCGTCCCATCTCTCTGCTAAACCATCACCTTCAAGCATTCTCACCACTTCCGACATCTTAGGCCGCTCCATTGGGGAGCCTTGTGTACAGAGCAGCGCAACCTGGATTAGTTGCTCCACCTCAGCTTCCACATAATTGTTTTGGAGATCAGGATCTACTAGCATTTCTAACTTTTTCTCTTTGAGAAGTCCTTTTACCTGAGACAACATTAATTGCATAAGCACTAGATTTCCAGAAAAATAAAACTAATGAAAACACAGTAAAGTGTACATACCCAATCAAGCAACATGACATCATCATCATTTGCCAGCCGGGCAAGGTCAAAAGCTCTCTGTCCAGTAATTAGCTCCAGAAGCATGATTCCATACCCAAAAACATCAGTTTTCTCAGAAGATTTACCAGTAGATAGGTACTCTGGAGCTATGTGTCCTATTGTACCACGGACAGCAGTGGTAACATGAGTATCCTTGTAGTCCATCAATTTTGCCAACCCAAAATCCCCAACAACAGCCTCAAATTCCTCATCTAACAAAATATTTGCAGCTTTAACATCCCGATGAATAATCTTTGGGTCACAATGATCATGCAAATAAGACAGACCCCTTGCAGTCCCAATGCAATTCGCTTCCGTGTTGGCCAATCTAGAGGAGGCTGTGACGGTGGCCGTTCTAAAAACATGCAACCATAAAACAAGTAAGACAAAGATATAATGGTGGGCACAAAGGCAAGTATAAAAAGGCACAAAGAATAATCAGCCTATCTGATGATCAAAACAAATTGTGTCGAGGCAGTTGACAAATCAATGGTAAATGAGAATGATAGCAAGCTTTACCCCTCAAACACGATGCAACACTTCCATTAGCCATGTAGGGATAAACAAGCAGTCTTTCGGTTGGAGTCATGCAAAAGCCACGTAACCGAAGAAGATTCCGATGCACAGCCATGCTTATCATCTCTACTTCCGTTTGAAACTGCAGCTCTCCTCCAGGTGTACGCTCTTCTTTAAGTCTTTTCACGGCCACCAATGAGCCATCTGCTAGACGTCCTTTGTAAACTTTACCAAATCCTCCTCTACCCAGAATATTTTTGTTGCTAAAGCTATCCGTTGCAACTTGTAATTCTCGCAGTGAAAACCTTTTAAGCTGTCCTAGATGAACTTCAGGATCCTCTTCAGCTGCAAAGAGATATAAACATATTTAACCAAATCATCCTACAAGTCTAAATCTGCTTTTCAGTAAAAACACTAACCAGGCACATCAAAGAAGAATTCTTGAGGTTTCCTCCGACGCCACAAAGCAAATGCTAAAGCAGGGGCAGCAAATAGTAAGGCTGCACCAGCTGCAACTCCTCCAGCAATTGCTCCAGTAGCACCATTCCCTCCTGAAGTTAGATGCAAAGAGAAAAAAAAATATCAAAATTAGCAGAGCAAGATATTAAATCCTAGACAAAATATTCTCTTGTAAACGAAATATTGATCAAAAATAATTCAGTCAGACTATACACTTCATTTTCACTTATTAGTAGCAATAACACAAAGAAATGGGAATTCTGCCTATGCCAGGCGAAACCTTGATGCCTTTTCAGACCATAGAAATGAAGCTTCCAACTGGTTCTCCAGTACATACTTGCCCACAAAAAGAAATCTATTTCACAGACAGTGAAAAACAAGAGATAAAAATATGGTTTTCTTGAAGTGATGAAGGTGGCAGAGTAAAACATTTTCCAGACAACAATAACCTTAACAGATTACAAATTTCTTAACATATTACCTAAGTAATCTAATGGCTTTGTAACCACAATTAAATCAATTTCAATTAAATTAAAAGTCTACAAGTTAAAATGTGCAGCAATATTGTGTAAGTATTGCTATATCACATATTAAATATTCCAGCCAGTGTGTAACAACACAAAACAGTACATGAAAAATAAAATACAGCTTCATGTTAATACAGATTATGCAGACACAAAATTCATGTGTATATTTGATAGTGTGTGTTACTTGGACCACATAACAGTTCATATCGACCATGCAAAACTAGAACGATGAACTTTGAGCATAAAAACCGAGGTCAAAAAATGGAGACCAACCATACTGAAGGGTTAAGAAACAATACATTGCAAGAGCATGATCTACTCTTTTGAAGTTCAAAATGCTAATGAACGGCAGGCTACCTGGAGAAGAAATTGGAGATGGTGGGACAAAAGGAGGAGGAGGAGAAAATGGAGGAGACCCTGGGCAGGGATGACTGGTAACCGGTCCACAGAGATCCAAGTTGTTGGCAAAACTGTAAGGGAAAAGGATGCCTTTCAGAAGTGATTTCAATAGCAGTCCATTAAGGGCAGGTAATGCTGAGCTGATTTATCAAACCTGATGGGAGTGAACAGTGAGAAGGAACCATTATCTGGAACCACTCCAGAGAGGCGGTTGTTTGAAAGATCCCTGCATTGCAAAATGAAAAAAGCAAAATTTTCAGTTTTGTACAGCACAGGATTTCTCTAAAAGAGCGAGAGATATCTCTTCATGACACAGAAAGTAACTGGGCACTCACAGTACTTGAAGTGCTGAGATATTCGTCAATGACATTGGAATGGGCCCCATCAAGCTATTGTTGTTAAGCCGACTGTCCTTGCACCAAACATGGCAAGAAAAAAAATTAAGCTCTAAAATCAATCAAGAGATGAAACTTAAATTAGCATCATAAGCAGATCCACAACAGTGTATAATGGTTAAGGATATAAAAGGCATGTGAAAAAAGAAATTGCATCATTGATTTGGCATGTGTGTGTGGATGCAGGCTAGCAACACTTGTGTGCATGTCTAACAAGCAGCAATTGCAATATTTTATTTGATGGCTTCTAAGGGATAGCTGTAGCTCAGATTCTGGCAGTTCAATAGAGCCAAGAGCCAACTATCAGACTCAGTTTTTTTTTTTTTTGGCAGTATAAAAAGTCAAATGATTGTTCAATCAAACATTGTCATTCCAATAAGGTACACATAACAAAAGGCATGACTATTCATAGACAAGAATAAAGAATTGATATGGGTATATTAACAATTTGGAAACTAAACAATAAACATGGAGACTGAATCTTTTAGGAGGATACTTACAGGAATCGCAATTTTGACAGCTTGCCCAAAGTGTCTGGGATGGGACCAGAAAAACTATTCAAGTAAAGATCCAAGCTCACCAGGCTAGTCAAATTTCCAAGATTGCTAGGAATTGGTCCGCTTATATTATTACTGTAGAGCTCCCTGTTGTAAACAATTTGGCTTAATGAATCATACAAGGATAAAAAACAAAAAAAGATGCATTAACCATAAACTCATACAAGATTCAAAAATGGCTAAGGGACTTCTTCTACAACTAGATCTAGCAGGGTATCCTTTTTCCATCTGCTCAAGACAAATACATCATTGCTAGAAGGAACTTCGAAGATGTGAAATTAAATTTTACCAAACAATTCTCCAGGTCTTGATCCACATGAGATGCTGCTACATTGTACTCTCTAATGGGCCCTACTATAACCTCAAGGTATGGAGCCAATGCAAGATAGTGGATGAATAGTACAAAATAGCCATGTAATCTTGTTCTGCTTGATCAAGCAGCAGTGATCATGCTATTTGATACATCAACTTCACAAAATTTCAGTTGTGGAAGTTATTACTAGGCCACATTCAATTTTTCACTGCCAAAGCTACAGGCACACAGTTCGATACCAGAAAGCATAGCATCCTTTACCCGAGGCCTTAACACAGATTATTTAAGCTTTCCCACACTAGATGAACACCACTACATGTCAGATCGTTCCACGAAGATCTCAAGGGGTCCTTGCTAGGTACAATGTTGAAATTTTTGGGATTGTAGCCATAGAGAAGCAGGGCTTGACTCTTGAGAACAGCCACTTCATGTGAAATGCTAAGATAATCTCCACATTCTTCCTCCAGAGTGATGAATTTCGTTTCTATTTCTTTATAACAAGATAGCATATCACTTTTTGTGAATGAAATCATAATTAAGTGATGGTGATCATCCAATACAGAAAACAGAGGCCCATAACATAACAAGTTTATGAGTTTCTGCAGATTTTCAGTAGAAAATATGAGTTTCACCAAACCAGACAGCTGACTACATGCACGTTAGATCTAGTTAGACTGCTGGAAATGCTAACATAATAAAAAACTTTCAGTTCTTTCACAGTCCATTTTTTGTCTCATGGGCTCCATTGTTTGGGGAAAATCTTTGGTTGACAACAGTCTGTCCGGAAAGCACCATAATTCGCATGGTTGGAATTGAGCAAAACTCATGCCAACACAACAAATCTAGATAATATTTCCATAATCATCTCCCACATGGATGAGTATTGAGAATGATAATCCCAAACTGCTCTCTCTTTTGTCATCACATCTCCCATCATTATAATGCAACCTCTCTTCGAGGAGAATTAGCCCTTGCAGAGAATGTCATCACCCTTTCCAATAGACCTATGAACTTTAGTCTAACCCCTGGTTCAAAATTAACTAGATTCATGTCTTCCCAGCGAGGATATAATAACACAATATCATCAAGAGCAAAAGAGCAAAAGAGGCACTTGCTATCAATCTCATTCAAGAATCCTACTTACTCTGAAGGAGATGCTCTATCTGTTTAAACGTGCAAATTCTGTCTACTACATAAGAAAAAATCAAATATAATCCTTTTTGCTAAACTGCTCAACAAGGAAACACATTCTACACTAAATCATATATGCACTGATTCCAAAATCCTCTTTTTTTTTTCAGAGAAAAAATAAACTTTTTGATGACTGCACAATGAAAAATATTTCTGAAGAATCAACATTTATTCATTTCGACAAAGAAATAAATGCTAGAGAGCATTTATTTGTCTCCACAAGCAACTTGATCTGAAATATTGCACTTTGAAATTCCCTTTACAAGAGGAAAAGAATTGGTGCAGTGCAACATTATTCCACCATTTAACAACAGAGTTAGATAAATGTATTTTAAATCACAGTGCAGGACTTACAAGTATTGCAAATTCTTAAGCAAGCCAAGCTGTGGAACGAGCTGACCAGATAAAGCAGCATTTCCAAGATCACTGTGAAATTAAGAAAAAATATCACATGCTAATGCTTTTGTAAGCTGATACATTTGTAATAAGTTACATCTTAATCTTGTTCTCGAGGTACATCAAAAGGGCAAGAAGCTCACACTCGTATGACACTATTATCATTGTTACATGTGACATGAAACCATGTGCAAGGGTTGACAAGGGTAGGATCCCAACTCTGCAGGACATTGTTTGGATCATTTAAGTTGCTCCTCAGGCTATGCAAAGCATCACCTGTTTCCGAGAAAGAAAACCAATTAAGTTAGGGTTGACAACTGATAGCAATAAACTCGTTAAGGCACATTATAGACAGAGATGAGTCAATGAGGTACAGGAACAATGTGGCTGACCATTTATTCATGGCATTTCATCTATAGACATGAATAACAAAAAACATGGTAGTTTTTCAAAAATAAAAATAAAAAAAGAATGTGTAGGGTTTAAGGGCTTCTTGAGATACCAGAACACTACCAAATGTGCAAAGACCGCAATCATCTCACAGTAATCATCCACTAGTTATATAATTAGATGGAAGGATGTACAACCACAACCAAATGAATCTCAAAGCAAGTGCAGATTTTAAAGCATTCAACACATCCATTCAGAGATATGAACATTTAAAACAGACAAAAAGGCAATGTCTTAAGAGGTAAAGTCCCAGGAGCACAAAACCATTTCAACCCTCATCTTAAAGTCATAAACAGTAAAAACTAACATAAATTCTTTAGCTCTTGCACTAAAAGATCGACAACCTTTACCTCAAATTCACATCACACATTCAAATTCACCAACAAAAGCAATAAATTGAAGAATTGAATAAGATCACCAGCACCCATTATCTAAGTACTTTACTCAACCACAAATACTCATTCTTCACTCACCAAACAATTAATGATACCAAAAACAAAAAACCGTTTTCACAAATCAACAAATATAGCAAAAATCGAGATCAAAGTCCTCGAATTTTCCAAAAAGAAAAAACCAACAAAACTGCAGTGCCGAAAAACCAATAAATGAGCAAAAAAGCAACACACCTTCCATGTTACCCAAAACCAGCCATACTGGCAGCAGCAACGCCAAGATCAACAACCACGCAAAAAGAAAGTCCCCAACTTTCCTCTCCATAACCCACCAAAGCACTTAACTTTCTTAACTTTAACCTCTCAATCTCCTCAGATCCAAACAACAACAAACCAAAACCCAACTCACCATTACATAGCCAACCAAAAAAAAAAAAAAACAAATAAAACCGTAACTCTCCCTTTCTCTTTCAACTCTGTAACAACAACAAGTACACTAACAACCCCATCATTATCATCTCCCTCCAAAAACTAGCCTGATCTCTCACACCCCATTACACCTCACTTCAAAAAGGTCACAACTTTAAGACAAGAACACAAAACCCACCACAAAAAACACAACAAGAAGAAACAAGTTGAAAAATTTCAAAGCATTTTCAGTTCAGTACAGTTTAATTTCTTCTTCGTAATTATAACTAAAAAAGAAAAGAAAAAAAAAACCTTTCCTTTATAGCTTCTACTTTAATAAGTGAAGTGTGTGCGTTTATCTATGTTCATTTACTATGCCTTCTTTTTTTAATGGATTCTTTAGAATAGAGGGGAGAGAGAGAGAGACGTGTGGGCTGCCCGTTGCCCGAACGCAGTCAAAAAACGCATTCGCGCTATATCGTGGAAAGTGACGTGACCCCAAAAAACACCGTTTTTCGGTCTAAAAAATGTGGGACCGACTGTCAATATTTAGTTTTGGGGTAAGGTACAAATCCGTCCTTGTGTTATTAAGGTGGCAAGGATTTGATTCTTAAACAAAAACTTTAACCAATCATACCTTGCATAGATTACCTTAGACCTTAGAAATACTCATGGGTTACATGTAGTTGCTTAACCATCTACTTTACTGATGGAAAAAAAAAAAACTAGAATGATGAATAATACAATATTTTTATTTTATAATAAAAAACATTTTAGCAACGTAAAACGTTAAATTTTTTTCTTACATTTGCAATTTTAGTTAGTGTCATAAATTTATTTTTTTAATTCTACATCTAATATAAAATAATTTTCTTTTTTCTCAATTAACAATTATAATTTTTTTCATGATAATTTTTAATTTGAATGAAATAAAATTAATATTTTATAATTACATTATCACACTATAAAATACTAAGATCAATATTATTAATTATGATTTCGTTACAATTTCGACATATTTTTTATTTTTTTGACAGAAAAATTACTTTCTATATTCAACAAATGAACCCATTTTCTAATTTTTCATTAGAAAAATAGAAGTAAATAAAAAAAATGAAAAAAAAGCTTTTCTATTATAAAACAACCATGCAATTCTTTCTCTTGAAGCATTGTTTATTTAAAAAAAAAAAAAAAGAAGAAGAAGAAGAAGAAAAAGTCTTAAGATTTTATGCTCTAAAAAGATGCTTAAACATAGTTAACAAGATGAGTGTCGTGTGCAGCAATCCATTAACCTTTAATCAAATTACCATTGAACTTTTCCTATTTTAACATACTTAATCATGACATGCAATGCTACACTCTTAGCAAAAAATGGAGACAAATACTGACAAGCAAGAGATTACAAAACATGCTTCACATCTCCAAGTGGGGTATGTGTGTGTATGTATATTTCACAAACTCGATTGATGAAATATTTTATGTAGGGACCAAGCATTAATAAAATTAATAATCGGGGGACATAATTATACTTTTGGCATCATTTTTGGTTTGCACATGTGTGTGTGTTTTATTAGTGATGGTGTCTTTGGTATAAATAGCGATGTGTGTGTTTTATTTAATAAAATAAAAACAAAACATATCCGTTTCCGTTTGTAGGGGGTATACTGTACTTTAAATTTTAAAGGAAACGGGCCCCGTTCTTTAACAGCAATCCCTCCATTAATACAACAGAACAGAGTACGGAGATTTTTGTGGTTGGGGTTTTTGGGAGTGTAAGAATTTATTCATCAAGGGTAAGAAGCTATAGCTTCAGGGATGGCAATGGATCCCGAGTATAAAATGGGCAGTTATTTTATTTGATTTAATAAATATTTATTAAAAATATTTAATGGGTATTGAAATAGATAAAGATAAAAAATATATATATATTAATAATGATTTCAGGGATGGCAATGGATACCGAGTATAAAATGGGCAGTTACTAATACTTACTAATTTATTTAGAATTTTTTTATTAGCATATAGGGATCTAATTACATAAAATTTAAAAATTAAGGATCAAAATATTTTTTTTGAAAACTTTGAAGATCTAAATAAACTATCAAAATGTTAAAAAAAAAATCAAGGATGATTTTTTTTAATTATAGGGACTAAAACAAATATTTTTTAATAAATTAAATTTAACGGGTGTTAAATGAACGAGTAAACTAGTATAGGCTAGTATGGACAATTTAAAGATTTATATGGTGATTTCTTAAAAGGTAATGGGTTAATGGATAGAATAAAAAATTGAATTAATAGATCGGGTATCCGTCCATTACTATCTCTAATAGCTTGTAATGAGAGTACGAGGAATTCAAACCTTTCACTTATTTATTTATTGAAGTCTACTTGTTATTAATAGTTTAAGAGTCTTCTTCTTGTTTTTTTTTTTTTTTTTGAAAAGAGTTTTTGTTTTCTTTTTGGTATCTCAATCTCACATTAGAGATATAACTAATTATATTTGATATAGGAGTAATAAATTATAATTCCTCTCAATAAGTATAACTTCATAATTCAAACTTTGCATATTACAAAAAATTCATTTAAGAACCAACTTGGTCACCACTGAGCCAATAACTTGGTTTATTCTTATTTTTTGATTCATCATAAGGTCGATGGATCTTAGGTTGCACAATAAAAATGATTCTCTTCTGTTACAAAATAAAAAGACTTAAAGAGTCATTAAGACTCAAACGTTTTTTCACTAAAAATGTTATCTACGTACGCAATTGTTAGATTAAACATATTTGTATAGACTTTTTTAGTTTTTAAACTGCTGAAGATGAGATAAGACTTAATGCAAAGTTTATCTAAAGACTTTGTTTAGTATAGAACTAGTTTCTTTACCCGCAACGTAACACATAAAGTTATTTTTAAAAAATTATTTGAGTTTGATATTTCGTGTCATATTATGCGTCCGTTAAAATATATTAAATCAAAACTACATAAAAATTTAATCAATAATTTGTATTTAACTAGTTATTTTTTATATTTTCATAAATTTTTTTATTAAAAATATTATTTATTTATTTCTATCCATATTTTTAACTACAAAAATTATAATAATGTAGAAAACTATCAAAATCAATGAATTGTTAATTAAAAACTTGTTTTGAAAAAATTTTTTTCTAAACATCTTTTTGTCTCAAATTTTTTAATTAAAAAAATAAAAAGCAAGGACCAAGGTAATCAAAACGAAACAAAAAAAATTTATGAAAATTTTTTTTAAAAAAAAAGAACAAAGTATAATATCACGAAAACTTTCATAATAAATGCATTTAAAAAAAAATTAAAACTATAAAAAAGTCATTATATAGTAAAATAAATAGTGCGAGTCTATGTAAATAGTGTATATGAGTTTGGATGAATAATGTTTAGAATAGTGTCGATGAATAATAAACTAACGTTTTGGTTTATTATTATTTTTTTTAACGTAGTAAATGTACAGAAGATTTTCCATCAAAGTTTCCTTTTGTTGCAATTCTAACAAAAAAATTGCATTTGTAGACATCTATTTTTAGGATTTTATTATTATAAAAAAATCGTTGGTGTTATATATATATGTGTGTGTGTATGTGTGTGTGTGTGTGTGTTATGGAGTTAATCTTATTAAAGAATAATTTCAAATGGTAATAATTAATATTTTAGATTCTGTGGTGATACAGATGATTTGTCATATGTAAATATACATTAAAATTTTATTCAAATGATAAAATAAACTTACTATATATAACATTTATAATGCATTGGGTACCGTAGGAGTGCTTAATCTCAAAAGTTCAGAGAGTTATATTACATTTAAGATCTCATTTATTTTCTAACATACTAATTAAATCACTACATTATTTTTCTTCTACATTATTTTTCTTCTCAAACAAATTAACAGGATTGAGCAACTCTAAATTTTTTCAGGAAGTGTCGCTTCAGTGACAATAAGAC